GAGTCAAACTCGAGTTGAGTCAAATTGAGTCGAGTTTAAAATTTATATAACTCGAATCAAGTCGAGTTGAAAAATTTATAAAATAAATTTGACTTGACTTGACTCGAAAAAAATGAGTTGAATCGAGTTGATCCTTAAACTCGACTCAACTCGACTCATTCGGAACTCTATAAAAGCATATATGGGAAAGGCAAGTATAACACTTAATAAGCTTATTATAATTGATACATTTGTCTTAGGCCTTAGCAAGCTTCACATGTACAAATTTTGGTATAGTTATATAAAGGAAAGATATAGTGTTAAAGCTAGGCTTGGCTATATGGACACTGATTCATTTATTTATCATATTAAGACTGAGAATATCTATAAAGATATGAGCAAATGACCAGATCTCTTTAATCTTAATGGAGATACTACTATAAGTAAATATAAGGATAAGATGCCTGGTAATGTGATCATAGAATCCTTTCACATTTAGACCAAATCTTATTACTATATCCTAGCTGATAAATCTACACAGTCTAAGCATAAGAGGATTAGTAAGAAGGGCATGAATGAAATAGCTACAGATTCATATATGCCAATCTTAGAAGGCTTCTTGCTAGATGATCTGATAGATAGGTCATTATTATCAGAATAAGAAGCTAAAGATTTAACTATACAAACTGAAGCTGATCCTATGACTTTAGTATATCAGGACTGTCTCTTTAATAAAAAAGTATTCTATGCCAAAAATATGGGTATTAGATTAAAGGATTACATATTATCTCTGGTTGAATCTGAGAAAAAGGCTCTCTGTCCTATAGATACTAAGTGCTGTATATTATCAGATAAGATAACTACTTTACCATATAAGCATTAGCGCAATAGAATATAGTTAAAGATGGTATCCCCCATGAAGAGGCTGAAAAAAAGAGCTATAATTGCAAAGCTCTCAGAAAAGTATCAGAATAAATGTACTGATCACATAGCCAGCCTATCCTATTAAGCCAAACTAGTGAAATGTCTTGAGAAGTGTTTATTTATTAGAGTATTATTATATATTTTTTTTTGTGAAATAAATATTAAGTAATATCCTTTAAAATAAAAATTATGCAAAAGCAGTCTTCCAATCATTTTAGCGAGTATGTAAAAAATATGGAAAAGCTATCAAAGTTAGCAGGACTCGATCATTAAAATTCTATAATATTCAGCATACTTATTGAAAAATCAAAGCATTAGAAAAAAAATTAAGTGACCATTATTTTCAACTAAAAAAGCTTGAAAGATCTATAGACTATATAGAAGAACGAACTGGTCTAGAACCTGACAAAGAACTAACTGATTCCTCTGAGTCTAGTTCATTCAAGTCTGAAGTGAAAATAGTTACATCTGAGTGCTATTCATCTGAAGAAATAAAAGTCAAATGTTATAAACTAAAAAAATACCAAGCGATCTCAGAGAATGCTAAGTATGCATATTAACAAAATAGAAATATAGTTAGTTTTCTTATTTCGCATATAGGATTACTAAGAGATTATCAGCCAGATGCACTAATCATGAAGTTTTTTTTTAATTTACAAGAGGATAATGAATGACAAAATGTGATGTATAATTGCTAATGAAAATCTGAGGAATGTTTTCTCCTGCGAAAATTACAAGTGCTATAAAAGTAACTGTATAAATTATATTGACAAGAAGTAATGGCAAAAGCTAGCAGTATATCCATCATGTCAGGTTCAAAGCAAAGTAGTATGTTATCATCTTTTCTTACCAATCTTAGAATCCTTAGATATAAAATACTTAAAAGTCTCGAAGAAAAAGATATCAGAGATATTGACGTTTTAGAACTAGGATTATATTCTGAATGTAATGAGAAAATTTTTTCATTTTCTATTACAAGATTTACCACGCTCACCTGTAATCATACTTACTATAGACTTTATATAGAAAAAAAGCTTTTGAACTCTTGCCCATTCCCTGGTTGTAAAAAGAACATTGATACTATAGAAGCTAGGAGGGTTCACAATCATTCCAATCAAATGGTGTTTCAGCTATATCAACTCTGATGGGTGAAAAGTTTATAATAACTTCACCAATAATACACAAAGATACTATAGAAGATATGAAGGTTGCTGTGTATTAACAAACTGAAAGTGAATGAAGCAGTTTAACGTGTGCAAAATGTTCTGAAGATATCATCCAAGTCTTTTTCCAAGTACCCTAAAGACCACTAGTATTTTTTCCCTGTAAGCATGCTGTGCATTACAATTGCATCGATAATCTGCAAAAGCTATGCCCTATTTGCTAATTATCTAAAGGAACTGAGGTAGGGAAAAAACGTTCTAATGAGTTTACTTCTGAAAAAGTCTCAAATAAAAAAGTAAAGCAGATCAGGAAACAGGTTGATAGAAATACTTTCTTTACATTAAAAAAACTAATTATAAAGTTAACTTCTTCCGAGTCCCCAGAAGATGATCTCTTTCAAGACTCCCTCATTACTTTGCAGTCGAGTATCTCTGAGATAAATATAAACTCGCTTAATTTTCTCAATTTATATAATAAGATTGATACTACTGAAGACAATCTTCGAAGAACTACTTATAATTTGCTTCAATGCTATTATAATTTTGGTCAAGCCATTAAGCAGTTATTTGATCATTTTAGAAAACTTGTAATGAGAATGTATTTAATGCTAAAGTTAATGATAGAATCATGAATCAGATTTCTGTGCAAGATAAACTCACCAAGACTAACCTTTAAAAAAGAAAGGAATGGGATAAAAAGGTTTTCAGGCTCTTTAATAATGTTAGTGATATAGAAGTAATAGAACGGTTAAAGTTTTTTAACACTACTACAATCTTAAATCTATTCTCAAATGATATCGATTTTCTTATTGTTAGATTAAATGAATAAATAGTACCTACTGCTATATGTATTTTGTGTAACTTTTGATAATAAAGGACGATCTTTACTGAGATCCCTTCCACTATGACCATTTTTAATTTTTTATTTGTAAAGTAGTGTGACATTAAAGTTACAGCTCTTAGAGCTAAAATCATAAAGTTTTCAGTTTTCATTCTACCATATTAATTGGCATAAATAATTCTGTTACAAAACTTTGTCAGATATCATTGGTTTAGCTGTGACACACTTCTCTCAATAAGATTTTGAATAAGAATTTATATGACTAAATTAGCCAATCATCTCAAACATGTGCATTTTATTCATAATAATTTTCAGGCTATCCAGTAAAGAAAAAATTTGAAATCTGATTGACTTGTAAGTCAATCTATAATTTATCTCGTAATTTGAGTTGTGAGAAGATTGCGAGGAAGTGTCAGGATGATACAAATTTTTATATTATATAATAATGCCTCTAGCTAATCCCTGTTAATCATGAAAGATCTACAAACTAAAAGTGACAGGAGAGCGCTGGAGACTAACAAGATGCTGAAAAGAAGCTAGATATACTGTAGTATAATAATTATCAAGAATAAAAAATAATATACTATCTAGCTATGGTAAGAGAATGGTATACGACATAAATAAAATGTGTTTCTGATCTTCGTTAAAGTATATATGATGTAATAGGTGATACACCACCTAAATCAACTGTAATTCTGTGTGACTATTTGTGCAATAAATTGATTTTCACATATATTTCTAAAATATTTTTGATTTTTTTCTCTTACAATGTATAGCGGGATAGCATTTATTGATATATGTATTTACTTTAGAGAAACAAATTCTTTGACACCAATGATTCCAAGCAGAATATATTTATATAACATTGTTGGGTCTTAGTATTAACTATTAAGCGGTCAGACAAGCAAAAAAAAGTCTATATATGCATTGTCACACCATTTTAAAAGTTGAGATCTTCAATGCACATTCCGCATGTTCTTATCTTTGAATACAAACTTTTGACGTAAGAATCCATTGCATATTCTTTTACTTCAACTCCGGGCTCAGAGAAGTTGTAAATAGAGATTTAAAAGGGCAGTATATGAATTCAAGTTATTCGTCGCTTCATAATTTATAACATTAACAAAAACTAATAATATTTTTTTACACAAACATATCCAATAACTTGACTAGTAAGATCTATAATTTTCTTATTACCTTCTCACTAGAACATATTACCACTTTTTTTGTAGTCTATCAAGCTATGAAAGATAATCTAACAATCAAACAAAATGATTTAAGAAGTATAATAAACAGCACCATTTCTTTAGCAAAAAATGATTATTCTCGAGATTTATTAGCACAAAATAAACTTCTTACAGTTTCATTATAGGTTAGTTAATAAGTTTTATAATATCTTTTTATTAACAAATAATAATTGGTGCAATTCTTTATCATAAGATTTTGAAACTCGTAAAGATTTTAGTCGATGAAGGTATTTAATAACCTGTTAGTAATAAATTCAACTTTATGCACAAAACATGGAGATTACTCTGGGTATTCGATGTCTGCTAGTAATGAATTTAACTCCAAGGATGTATGGGGATACTCTGACTTTAGTCTTTTAAGTTTTGAGAGTTTATATATAGAAACGAAGTTGCTTACAATGTGTAGGCCATGCAGAGATAGCAACTTTGCTATATTATTTCTGATGACACTTGCGAGTGATATAGAAAATATTCATTATAAGAACGAAGATTAATATGTATTTTTAATACACTAGTCTGATATTGCTTTTGAGGGGTTTGTAGTCTTCATGATATAGAAATGGCAATTAAACCTCTTAGTGATAAAGAAATTAAGGATAATATAGGGGACTTGAAAAAGAAGCTTGCAGTAAATTTCTGTCAAATTTCTTATTTTTTGCTACAGCGCAAAACTTATATAATATATTTTCTCTTAATTTATAGGGAAGTACGACTTCACATGCTAAAGAAATACGTAAAAAGTTAAAAAATATATCTATTTCTGATTTGTCATGAAGAGATGCAATTGCTAATCAGGTAATAAGTGATGATTTCGACCTGGTAAAAAATTTGGGAAAATCTGTACATCAGTCTTTTATGAAAAATTTTAATATTAATAACTTGAATGAATTACTACTAAAGCTCTTGTATAACAAAACTTGAAAGGAGTCAGAAGAAAATCTAGTGGAGATAAGTGGAGAAATCCTTAATATCCTGTAAGTAAATTATTATCATAAATTTATTATAGTTACTAATTGCTAAGAAAGATCTTTATCACAAAGTAACGATGTGTGAAGGAATCCAGCTTTTGGTCTAAAATTTGAAAATACATAAAGCGAAAAACTTACGTGACAAATATTATAGTTCCTCTACTCTGAACTACATTGAAAAAACTCTCAGTTAGAAAAATTGCTTTGTTCAACACATAAGTCTCCATTTTATATACTTATATTATATGTTAGCAACTAACTTATAAGTTTATTTTTATTCAATGTGAAGCGATAAAGTGTAGCTAGTGCTGATAGAAAGGGAGACAGAAAATAAGATAAAAGACCTGATGTTATGTTCATAGAAAGGAGTGAAAAAATTATACAAACTTATATTCATAAAATCTTCACGTATAGCCTGTACCAGAATCAAAGAAGAGAATGACAATGTAAAGCTGTGAAGAAAAATGAATGATAGAATGGCTTGGATTTATAAAGGTTGCAAACTAGATAAAAATGAGTTTGGGGTTATAGGACTCCAAATCGCTGAAAAAATAATGCATCTGAACATTCTAATTAAGGATACTAATGATATTTATTGCCTTTTTTGTTTGCATTCAGTTGAAATCCTAATACAACCAGCTGGTGAGGTAATGTGTTGCAACTTGTGAAGGTATTATTACTTTTATGAAATATTACAATTATTAATATTTCTTTGTTATTAATTGCGCCAGAAGCTAGATCAGAATGACTTAAGCGAAAAAGCTTCACAGTATCTTCTGATCATGAATAATTAGATTTAATTTTAGAATGTATCCCAAGTATCATATAATTTATTTTATACCAATAAAGTTACCTTGGCAGTCAATTTCATAAATATATATTCATATTTTTTCATGTGAGTTGGTATGTGTCAGATAATAAAATTTTCTTAGCATATTTGTAGGACTGCATAGTCTCAGAAAACATGTAAATTTTTATTCTTAAATAAAATGAAATAGTAAAAAATTTATTATCTGTACTGCGAAAAATATGATTCTGTATTAATGCTAGCTGGTAAAAGTGATCAGTGTAATTAATTAATATTTTTAGCTGATCTGCCAGATGTGATGCAATTCGCATAATATTTCTAGTAGATTTCTCGAGTGATTCATGTTTTATGGTCTCATCCATATCCATAAGGTAAAGTTTCATAGGAGGTAGTCCTATCTTTTGGTTCTTCTCTGTATTATATTGGAATCCATAACTCTGATTTTTATTTAAGGGTATTGTATAATTCGAAAGATTTTTTTCATAGGCAGAATATTGGTTACTTTTTTTCGTGAATTTCACTATTTTCTAATCATGAACCATATGATCACAATCAGTAATAAAACAAGTATGAAATACGTTATCATCGGCATCATTAGAGAACTTGTAATGATAGAAATAGTTACTAGTGCTAGAGGTATTTCTTAGGACAATAGTACTGCTTCTGCATCACCTAATTCCAAAGGAATCTTCTTTCTTGAAATTATTTGAGACAAAGTATTTTTCTTTGATGCTAACTGGTTGCATAGCAATCTATTTTCATCTATTAACTTTAATCGCTCTAAAGACAAAATATCTATTTCCTATTTATATATCTATCTGATGACTCTTTTCCTTTTTCTATACATTCTATTTCATAATTTTTTGAATTAATATCCTTCTTCACTCAATTTAATTCAAGCCTGACAGAATCGATTTCTTTGGAATCAGATGAGCTTATTTGAGCCAGTTCCTTTATCACCCCTATTATATTCAAATCATGATATATATGCTCTAGATCTATATCCTCTAACTTACCTTCCAATTCACGTATTTTAGTTTCAAGAAAAAGAATCTAAATCTTGTCAGCAGACTAAGCTTTCTGGGCCAAAGTTAGCTTTCTCTTGAACGATTTAATTTTGGCAGTATATTTGACTTCAAGCTCACTATTAGCTATATTTAGCTAACTAAACTTATTGTTAAAACTTAAACAGATATGATTAAAATCCTTCACTCACTCTAAATATATATCCTGCAGGTCTTTATAATTATTAGTAATATCAGAAGCAGATTTGATATTACCGCGCAATGTTATCTCAAGTTTTGATTCACAGATGTTACCAAGCTGATAATCTAGTAAGATGTATTTATTTAATAAATCCTCAACCACCCTCCATTCTCGATATCTCTTAAAGTATGTACATTGGACATATTTTTTGGTTTAATCATTAGTATACTAAAAAATATGAACGAATTTTTGAGACTATGCAGTCTAAAAGTACTTTATTTTTTATAGATACTAGCCCTCGTTAGCATAGCTAACATGGATGAACACTCACTTCGCAGTTTATTAAAAGGCTGATTAATTAGCCAGAACAAAGGGCAGAAATTGAATATAATCATTACTGATAAAAAAGATCATACCTAGGTATTTAAGATCTGATGCAACCCTCTTTCACTTAAAGTAATTCATGAAATTATAGATGCTAGGGGTATAAGTAATATATTATCAGTTTTAACTAAAAAATATAAAATATCGAAGACATATATTTATAAATTCTGGAACAAGAACATCCTTCCGATCCTTTATTAAAGAATAATTAGCCTAGTAGTCAAAATATTAATTGGGATAAAGAAATCGAGATCATATATGACTTATATGCTAAACTTCTTTACTGATAATTTTTAAAAGATTTCATATATCCATATTTTTTAAAAAATCATTAATAAGGTCTGGTCTTTTTCAGAAATTATTAAAAAAATTCAATAATGTTTAATAAATATTGATTACAATACTTGAATAATGATTGATAAATTTTGATTTTTATCAGTTATTTTTTGTTTGATAATTATCAATAAATGGAATATTTATCCAAAAAATATTAACATGTGAGTGTTACCTATTTATCACCTGAAGTTCTTGAGAAAATTCACAATTTCTGTGAAAAAGTTAAAAATGCTGTAACAGTAATGGCAAAAAAATATCACATTTCTATCTGGTGAATTTATGAGATTTGGTGTAGATCTGTAATGGAGCAACCTAATCATTTCTAATAAGGTGGATTAGATAACCAAAGCCTAGGTAATCCTAATATTACTTCTTTGTTTCAGGATAATGTATTAGAAGACGCTTCGCTAGGATATATCACTATTTCTGATAACAAGAAGAAAAAGATTAGAGGGAAGAAACGATTCCAAAGGGGTCAAGCAATATCTGAAATAAAAAAAGAAATTATTTCACCTACTGAATCCTCTGAAGATGTCTTGGAATTGTATAAGAGAACTGATAATACTTTAGAAAAAATTAAAGCAAGAGGTCATTCTCTTATTTTCAAATAGTTATTCATTCCATTCAATCTGACTGCGTAAATTATTCTATGATTTTCAAATTTGATTGAATATTAGAAAATAATACCTTTTCAAGCTCTTTTATACAGACTATCATATCTTTAGAATTCATACAATTTATGCATTTTTTTTAAGTCCTCCTCAGGGCTAGAAGAAATAACAGAAATCTGAGAGTTGAGAGACACTTCACATGATGATTCCTAATCCTTTTTTGACAGCTCCTTTCCTATAGTGAAGATATTATACTGGGATTTGTAAACTAATAGGGAGATGGTAACAGTCTTTCTATTTTAGTTTGCCTTAAATTCTTTCTTCACTAAAGGCTTCCAACCAGCTCGATACTGCCATTGCGTTTCAAGAATAAATAGAGACAATTCTTTTCCATTATCATCATATTCTGTAGGGACGACAGAAAATTCATCTGAAATACTGTCTTTATTTTCTCTATTTTCAATAGTTATAGGAACAATATCAACTGTACCAAGGGAATTGGACTTACTTGCGACCCCATTAAGTCTGTGAATCTTTTTCTTATCTATTTTTAGACCCAAATGCTTTGTAATATTTTCTGAAATAATTAAGGAGTCTGATCCACTATCTATTATTGCATAAGGTATTATCACACCTTCCACCTTACAGGAGATGGTCACAACATCATCAGCATCTTTTATTTGTAAAAAATTTATCTCTAAGGGTTTGGGTCAATATATTTGATTATTTTTTTTTCAGCTGAATGACATTGAGCATATGCTTTAATAGCATGATTCAAAGTATGCCTATTTTTTGAATGGTTATTATTTGGCAATATTTCTATTTTCATAATATTATTTGCTATTCTTTTGATTTAGTGCAATTCCTTAAGGATCTGCTCTTTCTGAATGGTTTGAGAAGAAGACAGAACTTGTAAAAGAGGCTTCTGCTCAGTATTTATTACTTGTAATAGTGGAAGTAAGACCTCTTGTACTTTTTTTATAACATTCTCCCATGCTAATTCTCTTCTTTTAACTGTATCATCTAGCATAACAGTATTCAAGCAATGGTCTTTTAATTTGAGATATATTGTATTAATAAATTTTGAAATTTCTATAAGAATCTCTTTAGGACAATGGGAGACTACTGATGATATTATAGATTTTAAGACTATTTGATACATTTGATCCATAGCTATATAAAGCGCCTTATGGCTAATTATATTGTTCAATACTTTGGTATTTTCAGCACAAGATTTAGAAGTAGGAGATTCCTTCTTGTGAGTCTTTTTTATAGGTACTACACTTCGTACCACTTTTTTTACAGCATAGCAATTTCGATCAGTAATATTTAGAACAGATTCATTACCATCAACACATTTATCATTTTCCTCAACTTCCTCCTCAACTATGTATTCTATTTCAAGCTCTTCGAGATCTTTCTCCTCTTCAAATATGTATTTTATTTCAGGCTCTTTGGAGTCATCAGAGACTCTCTTAGGATGGGATCTTTCTCAGCATTTTGGTATACATAATTAACCTTTTTAGTACTCTTAACTCTAAAGCAACTCTAAGGCAATTAATTTTTATATGGCTAGCCTTTCTATAAACTGAGCAAAGACGAATAACTTTTTAAGAAACAATTTGTTTAACTGGTATTTTTTGTATTATCTTTCTAACAGCTTTCTTTGTAGCATTTGTATTTCTAACCTCTAATTCTGAGAAGAGGCTCCTTCTAACATGAGTCATTTTACACTCTAGTCTTTTACCAAGATCATTATTCCTTAAACTGTAGAAATTCGCAAACAAATTTGCCTGCTTATTTACTATAAATTCCCTTCGATTTACTTTTATGAAAAATTAAAATTTTTAAAAAATTTTTTTTTAAATTAATTTTATAAATATATATAATATTATA